GAAAGTCACCGGGTATCTCAAGCCACAGACACGTGTGCATCAAAATAGAAAAATTGGCCTCGAGAAGAATCAGAGCACGCCGCCCGGAAGATTGATCTGTCCTTGTTGACCACCATTGAAGCCGTTGAAGCCAGCGCTGTTAGGTGCTGATGCACCAGGCCCCGGAGTGCCTGAAGGGTTGTCCATGTGGATCTTCCGCAACATGAACATTGGCTTCCGTCCTTCCTTTTCCAACTGCTTGAACAAGAGAAGGGGTTTCTCATTCAATTCCAAACAACGCTCTTGATCTCCGTAAACAATATAAAGCGCGTAGTTCTTCCAGTCAGAGTTGATGTTGTATTTCTTAAGAGCAGCCGGGAGGACCTTGTGGCAAGGGTCTTCCCAAGAGACTCGGAAGGACTTGAAGATTTCCACGCTATTTGGATTCTCGCCGCCTCCTCCGCTTCCGCCACCGCCACCCCGTGAGTCAGACCTATCGAGTCGTGGGTCAAGACGTGATGCAGTGGACGGTGTCTCGGCGCGGGATGCTGGAAGATGACTCGGGGTGGATCGGTCTCTAGAATGTATCGTTGGGGTCTGCTCCGCATAATCATAGGCCGTGTTGCGGTTTGCGCTGGAGAGTGGTTGGGTATATGATCGTGGATTGAGTGTCTGAGGGTGAGCATGGTGGTGGTGAGGTGACGTCGGTGAAGGAATTCCAGGTGATAGTTGGGGCCCTCCATTCATTGAGGCTGTCAAATGGGATGAAGCGGCGCCTGATGGATTAAGGGTGTCGTGATGAGAGCGTCCATCATAGCCCGTAGGTGGAGGGTGGGTTGGTGAATTGTTTTTGGATGTGGCACCGTTAGGATGAATGCGCTTGGAGAAAGCCCGCGCAATTTTCGACGATGAAGAAAGTTCCTGGGTGATTGTGGGTTGGGGAGTTGACGTGAGAGTGGCCGTGCTGTCGTGCCAGTTTTCTGAAGATTGCCCATGCGAAGAGGGTGGAGGCAATGGGTGTGACCGATCTTTTACTATTTTGATCACTGGTAGGATTTCTTCGCGCAATCGCCTGTAATCGTCCGTGATCCGGCGCAACTCTGTTTCAACCAACATGAGCTTTTCGTCCCGAACTTGGATCGATTTGATTAAACGCGCGAGATCCTCCTGTGTTGCAGTTTCATTCATACTCTGGTCCGCCGCTGCAAGCATGGGTTAGAAGTGATGTTAAATCGGAACGTTCGAGAACATACTAAGTGGAATATAATGGTCTGCATCGAGGGGAACATCTTGCTTGACTTTGATTTCATACACGCTTTTCAAAATCGTCAATCGATGTCCCACACTGGTGATGCCCATTTCCTTCAGTTCCTCATGCTTCAGGGCAATCAGGGCTTCACCGACAATTCCATTCTCTGCGTCATAGATTATGGTTAGTAAACAGCGTAAACTAAACAAGCTCGAATAAGTCTACTTACCTCGAAATGTACCGTGATATTGAAGTAATCCAAGGGATGTCAAAAATTCCTTACACTCATCGATTCCCCATTCTATAATGAGTGTTCGCGGTGAGCGAGGCCCATCGATCGGATGTCCAAATTTGGTCGGGGTGTGTTCTGATGAATGAATGGAGGAGTCCGTGGGAGAAGATTCTGAATCGATGTGAAGGTGAGGTGAAGTGATAACACTGCGCTCGTACTCATCGTCCGCATCGGAGTCGGCGTGGTAGGAGGTGTGGAGAGACATGACGGGGGTCTTCGGTAGCAAGACAATATTCACCGAAAATAGAGATGAATGGTATGAGGGGTTCACAGGCGCCGTCCTCAGAATGGAGGTAGTAGAGCCAGCAAAGAAAAACAAACAGAGTATCGGCAGTAATGCGCCGAATGCTCTATTTTATCAAACGCGGGCAGAACGAGGGGACGTCGAAACTCGAAGGGTTCAAGGCAAACATGGGCGGATTCGCAAGACCTTCCAGCAGGCAGTGGGTGGTATTGCGTGTGTCGTGTTCTGGTCGAAATACGTTCTCGATACTCCTTTCCGAGGAGGGGTGTTGTTGTTGAGTGCGAGTACGCGGCAATCAACAAGGCAAAGCGGGGAAGGTTGGCGGTTCAGGGCCACGGCGGGATAGGGGTGTTGGAGGAAAGTAAGGCCACCGGTCAAAGCGAGTAATATGTCTATGTTCCCTGGAGCCAAAAGTAAACTGATCGGAGCAAGTGAGCAAAGGTCGAGATTAGGCGAAGAGGACGCTTGTCTGATGAGAATGGGGTTCACGTGACTGGGCCTGGACTCTTCACGGGGAAACGTTGGAACCTTGGAACCTCGCAAAGTCTATACGCGAAGTCTATACGCATGTTCAACTACATCTCTTCTCTCTTTTTTTCTCTAAATACATTAGGCAGGGGATATGTTCTTTGAGTTAGGGCATCTTGTCCAATTAGGATATGTTTTGACAAACTCAATATCTCTGGAAAGCTTGAATAGAATTTGTCACCCCGCCTTCATTACAATGATGCCAAGCACCTGCACAAATCAGTGTGGCTCCCTCTGCAGTCATCCCTTTACTCCATCCAACAGGAACCCATTTATTTTTTATAATGGTAAGAATTTTTGCGTGTACTTGAGATACCCGTCCTTGATGTGGTCTTCTATGCCCACACCCTTGAAGCCATTTTTGGAAACAGATTTGGGCGTAGTCATTATTGAGTGGCCTGTGATCGGGTACATCAGTTGGTGTGGATTAATTTACATTCCAAATAATGGGGGTATTGGGTATTAACCCTTGATTGTTCTATTGGTCGCAAGTTTTATCGTGCACATTGCAGCATCTTCCGGAAGCGCAAACTCGATGCATTTGGCTATAAGCTGGGCCTCGTAAGCGGCGGATCGAATGGTGCTTTTCATACCGCTATATGCTGTGAGAGATTGACATCGAATTAAAATAGTATGGACACATACCATGGGGTAACACAGTGACTTTGAATACCTCGCTTGTGGGAGTTCTGGTGGGCTTGCATCGGACCTCTGCCTATATTTACTGATGGTGCATTGCTAGTTTGCCTTGCACGAGCAAATTTTACTCTTCTATGATTCAACATGCTGGCCTAAAATAAACCTCACTAGTGGGTCAATCCATGAAATTATACTGCTAGTGATAGCAGAAACAACAGTCCCGGTCTTCGGTATCAGGTTACTTGCGGAAATAGTGGACAGCCAGTTTTCATGTATACATTGTACCAATCAACTTGAAATTGACTAACTGAAGGTACGGCTCGATAGGAAGCTCGTTTTTTATTTTTTATTTTTACAAAATGAATAAGGCCCGATTTGGTGTGGTGCAATACGGGGCTGGTCTACTCATACCGAGGTAGTTGGGGCATATCACATTAATCTTGACCTCTAAATATTCGTTTTATCCTTGTATATGTGCAGAGTAAGAAATGTCGCATATTAATTCTAGACACACTATCACTAATTTTACGCCCTTCATCTCCAGTCTCGGGCTAATGTCCGTGGGGATTGCCCGGCACCCCCGCGTTTCAACCGAAGGGCTTGATTCGGGTATGATTCGGGTATCCGAGAAAAGTAAACCGACGAGAAAAAATCCATGCCAGAACCAAAAATTTCCAAGAGATCCGATCTGTGGGGATTGAATATAATAGAAAAGACATTGTGGGGCATAGGGCTGGAATATTGAGTACAAACTGCGTCATCAAGAGCTATGGAAGAGCCAAAGCTCTCGGTACGAGAGACTGTATTGTTTCAAAAAAGGGATATTTTGAACCCCATGAATTGGTAGTCTATTCAAATGCAAGAGCGCCCGTAGACTTTGTATGTAAAACCATGAATTTTGTTGCAGCCAGGCCGAAACAATCTGTACTCCTTAGAAAGAACCCTCCATGCATGATCACATTTTGAAATGCTGCTTTCCCAGCGCCCGGTGTCTGTCATTATTTCTTGTCACCGTTGGGCGCGCTCTCGCCTTCCAAGTCGGCCACTTCTCGTATGATATCTTTCAATCCGCGAACGCCTTCGTCGACCACGGTCTCCGGAATGCGGATATCGATTTCTTCAATGTACTTCAGAGGGTCGTATGAGTGGTCTTTGGGCTTGTTGCCTTTCTTGACACCGTTGGTCTCTTTTGTTCCGTTTGTAGTTTCACCGTTCGTGCTCTTGGTCCCCAGTGCGGGGTGGGTTCGACCCTCTGCCGAAGCGAGCACTGCCGCCATCACATCGTCGAAGGTCTCACAGCGGCCGGCGCGGAGGAGTTCTGTGGCGAGGGTGGTGACTTTGTCGGTCCAGCCCAAGCGGTGGAGGGAGCCGAGGAGATTTTCCTGCAGATCTTCGAGTGCGCAGCTGGCGGACAGCTTGACGAGGAGGTCGGATTCGAGGGCGTCGGGGGTGGAGGAGGCTCCGTTGGTGGAGGTGGAGGGGGGCATTGTGGTGTATGGGTTTCGGGTTTCGCAGGACAACACTTGAGCACGAGATAAAGGCCCGATATGAGCTTTTAGGATAAAAGCTCTAGTTCCAAATCGCGCTCAAGAAATGAGGCAACGCTTGGCGCAAAAGCGATGGTTGTCGGAGAGGAGGGGCCCGCCCTTTATTTCAATGCGGGATTGAAAGCGGATTAGAATTACATTGCATGTAGTGAAAGATAAACATGCATAATGACCAGACAATTGAGAGTGAATAGAAAATAAGAAATGGGAGAGTGGATGAATAGGAAGACTCACATGGGCGGCTCCCAGATCGGACAATCGGCATTGTGGGTCCGAGCGGTGAATCGCCTATTGTCTATTGTCATCTTGCGCTTCTGATCTTCTATTGAGGTCTCCTTTATTCTATTGATTTAATCTGATATCATCATTATTTATACTAATAATCTCATCTGGCATAAAAATATACTTGATTTGGCTTTGCTAGCAGGGCCATTACGATTATGTTCTAGTTGATATCCGATCCTGATATCCACAAACAGACCCAAAAATGATGTATGCATCTTCAGCCTAAAGCTTAGTGTCTTATTTGGATTTGATCTCAAATGGACCAGGCGCAGGCTTTGTCAGAGCCCAGGCAATGCCATCACTCATAACCTCGTCCCACCTCTTACTGTCCGGCAGCTGCTTGTATCTCCTGAATCCATGAGGGACACCGGGGAAAACATTAACATTGGTGGGAATGCTGATGAAATATTTAGCCTTTGAACATTTCAAATCTCGAATAATATGGCAAACTCACCCGTTTGCAGCGAGATGCTGCCCATAGAACAAACCCTCATCTCTCAATGGGTCATTTCCCGCGATTCCAAACGTCGTAGGAGGCAAGTCCTTAACCTCTTCCGCCGTAGCGTTTCCAGGGTTCATCCGACGAGCTCCAGCAGAATCCTTGGCATTGCTAAGCTCAAGAAGCCCGTCGAACAATTTCATTCGAGCCACCGGCAAGACAGGCGCGTCGGCACATTGCACATAACTCGACAAATCTGGACTCTTGAGCTGCTCCAATCTCGGCGCATAGTGATCCCATTGTACAAGACAAGGAATCATGAGGATCTGTCCTGCAATCTTTGGACAGGCCGCTAAGCGCTTATCCTCGCCGCGCAGCTGAGCCAGCGCCAAAGATGCAGTCAACCATGCGCCAGCTGAAATACCGCCCACGATAACCTGCTCGCTGATACCACCGATTTCAGCAATGTGCTCGTGTAGCCAGACGAACGAATCTTCAGAGTCGTTCCAAGCAGTGGGATAAGGATATTCGGGGGTGTGTCGGTAGTTGATATTCAAGACCACGACCGGGGTACCCTTCTGGACACGTGAGGTGACGATCCGCGAGCAAATGCCGTCCTCAGAAGAAAGAGTTCCGAAAAGAAAACCTCCACCGTGAAAGTGGACGTAAACTGGCAGGCGCTCGGAGATTGGGACGCCGACGGGGCGGTAGCTGCGTGCTTCGAGGGGTGTGCCGTCACGGGCTGGGATTGTGTAGTCGTGCAGTTGAACTTCGGCAGCGAGGCCATCGACCATATCTTGAGCGGCAGTTGCCTCGCGACCCTTGTTTACCAATGCCTTCATTTGTTCCACCGAGAGGTTCTTGGGGGCCTCAGGCAGCGTCGACTCGAGGGCGATCCATTCGGCGCTGGGCCTACCATATTCAGTGAAGTCGGCCATTATTGTAGTGGATAAAGATAATTATATTGCTAAAAGAGGCAGGGGGAGAAGAAGAAATAAGAAATAGGCAATAACATGAACTTCTATCCGGATTTAATAAGACCCGCTGGCTATAAAGCCGCGGAATCCACTCACGGAGGGGCAGTCGCCGAGGGGCACGCAACGCATGTACAAATGCACGTACAACGTACATAGTCAGGTACATTCGCTGAGAGATATATTGTCATCACCCTTACCACCCACATCACCTCGGCTCGGCTACCGGTAACAGTGTATCTGAACATTCGGTAACCCCGCATGAAGATGGACTATTTAGGTATGCCGTGAACGAGCAAAGATGAAGTAGGTATAAGGGTAGATAATATGCGCGTCTGTTTAATTTTCGGATCGAGTTAGTAACCTCAATTAAAACCAAATCATCCGATCAAAACCCATGGAGTCCGGCATTCCATCCGATCCCCCATCACGTTCTTTAGCCCAAAAAGTCGCCATCGTAACAGGCGCAGGCTGCCTGGGTGATGGAATCGGAAACGGACGCGCGATTTCAATACTTCTTGCCAGTGATGGCTGCGACGTAATCTGCGTCGACCTCAACCTGGAGTGGGCCAACAAGACCGTGGAAATTGTGAACTCAAAACCCGGTCGTGGACGCGCGCTTGCGATTCATGCAGACGTCACATCTGAACAAGACTGCCAAGCGGCGGTGCGATTTGCAGTTGAACAGTTTGGACGACTGGATATTTTAATCAACAATGTCGGGATTGGAGGCGCGGCGGGCACTGCAGTGGAAGTTGATATGATGCAGTGGGCAAAGAGTATGGAGATCAATGTTGCTAGTATGGTCCAAATGGCCAAGTATGCCATCCCCGAGATGAGCCGAAATGACGGCGAGATTAAAGGGAGTATTGTGAACATGGGAAGTGTTGCTGGGTTGAAGGGAGGTACACCTCATCTGCTATACCCGACTGCTAAGGGCGCCATAGTCAACATGACCCGTGCTATGGCGGCCCACCACTCCCCTGATGGAATTCGTGTGAATTGTGTTTGTCCAGGGGTATGGCCACCATTTTTGTTTTAAGGAACCAAAACTGATGATACTAGATGCTGTATACGCCTATGATGTATGGGAAGGGCATGAGTGAAGAAGCGCGTGAGGCCCGTCGGAAACGGAGCTTACTGGGAACCGAAGGAAATGGATGGGACTGTGCTGGAGCTGTTGTATTCCTTGCTGGACCTCATACTCGGTGGATGACAGGTGTCATTCTGCCTGTTGACGCAGGAACAACAGCTGCCGTAGGAATTGGAATGACGAAGAGTGCAAGTGTCAATGCCCAAATTTAAGATCAGAAAATGGTGTCCCTCAAATGTTGTGCCGTTCTCTTCTCTCTCATAGAACTATGGATCACTTTCTTGATTTTTCTTGCGCATCTCTTCATAAAAAGTTTCAAAAGTTATACATACGCCTTCTTCTGCCGTCTACCGATGAAGCTCTAGAAGGGAGAGAACGTATCTAAAAAAGAATGGAAAGGCCACCGAAATTCATGTTAAGTTCGCATAAGCAAGCGGCCGACTATTCTTGTTCACCATTTTCGATAAACTCAAAGATATGAATGCATGAAATCTTTTGACACATTCATACAACATCTGACACTAATGCTATCCGATCCTTGATCTTGCCCTGTCCCAATTCTTTGAGAACCCTTGGGAAATCCTGCAACTTGCCCAATTCAACCTGAGGCTGAATGACTCCCTTTGCAATCAAGCCAAGGACCTCTACTAAATCTCGGTATTGCCCACCATATGTGAAGATAATGCTTAGTCTCTTCCGAATTCCGATCTTCATGTCCAATCCATTGATGCGATCAAGAGTGCCAACACACAGGATCTTTCCCCCAGGACGCACTATTCAAGGATATGGTGTTAGCAAAAGATCAAAAAAGTCCAGAGAGGTTACTTACCAATGTGTTGTGCATCCTGGTTAGTCTGGTTGCTGCCCACAAATTCAAGTACGGTATCAATCTTTCCCTGCAGCCCATTTTCCTCGACAAAGTCTTGCACCGACTTCCCAACTGGAACAATATCCTCTAGTGGAACACCCAAATTCAGAGCAGCATCCAGCTTTTCTTGCCGTAAATCGGAAACAATGACTCTAGCACCGATATGGCGCACAATCTGGAGCGCATTGAAGCCAAGCCCACCAAGTCCAAAAAGGAAAGTAGTTTCTTCTTTCTTGACCTCAGCACGGCGGGTAATACCATGATAAGCTGTGGTGACAGCATCAGTAGCGACAGCAGCAACGGCTGGCTCAACACCTATGACCAGAGTTGGGTTAGTCACTTGACGGTTTCGTGGACGAGACACTTACCATCTGGCAATGGGATCGCAGCGCGAACATCGACTGCCACATACTCAGCATAGAAGCCGTCTTGACCAATTCCGTGGTGCATTCCAGCCGGGCAGAGTTGTGCTAGGTCTCTCGAACATTCAGAGCAGGTGTCTAAACCACATCCAGGGACAGCAATGAGAGCCACGCGGTCTCCCTTGATTTCTAAATTAGTGGTACCTCAATATTTAAGAGTGGTTATTTTACCAATTTGAACCTCTTATCTGTGACTGCTTCTCCTATCTGTATAATCTCTCCACATCCTTCATGGCCCTGGGAGAGAAATGTCAACTTTGGCTTTACATGGATTCGGTTGATGAAGAGATGTTCATACAAGTGTATACTTCTCATTAAAGTGCGGCCTGTCTTCAATATCCAAAAGGGGTTGATCGCTGTGACACACTATGATGAACAGGAAATATCAGAAAATAAGAACTTGAAATTCGGAACTGGACGTGAACTGGGTAGTGAGATACCTCCGGATGCCAGGAGCTTGACCAGAAACCCCGTGGTAGGTGTCGAGGGCATAGGAAGCTCTTCCCAAATCTATGATAAAATCAGAAACGTGTTGGATGAAATCCAACTGCTAACATACTGGATTTGGGTTTCCTTTATGCTTTCTCCAAGCATGCATTGTGGATGGTAGTGCTGTGCTGCCCATGATTTCTGAGTTGATTATTGCAATTGGCGAAGATATAATTGAGTCAAGAGAACGAAAAACTCATTTTAAATGAGGATGTATACCTAGCTGCTTATGTATAAAATGTCAGTAAGATATCGAAAGATGGCGTACGGAGAGTACGCTTAAGCTCGCTACGTCCCAGAAAGGACAGCCGATGCCGGCAGCCGGCTTGGCTTCCCCGCATGTTCTTCCGGATTTCAATGGTATGTATCGGGATGGGAATGATTCTGTCGAAGACTGTGAAGCATGTGCTTCATCTACAAATATGTAGTATCTGTGAAAAGCAACCGCTATATGCCTGCCCCAGGTAACAACAATCAGGATTTTGAGATCTTTCCTTCCCCAGTATTTATAACCTCCTAAAAGGATAATAAATAGTAGCACAGAGTATACTTGAATGTGTACAACATTGCATATAGACAGAATAAGGCTTTACCTTTCCGTTTTAGTGCTCACCCTTGTCGCTTTTTGCTTACGAGTAAACCCGAACGCGCACCTAAGCAGGTCCTTTTATCACACTAGCTGTATTCTGTCTGTTGGAATCTACACTGTATTGTAGAGAAACTTAATATTAATATCATCACAGTCAGAATCGCGATTAGAATCCTATGTTCCTCTCGATAGCATCCTTGACTGGTGAAGAACTGGCCCCAGTAATACACTCTTCGATTTTGTCTCAAACCCTAATGCTAAGACATGCCACGTAGTCTTGCATATTATCATAGGTGATAGACACCCGCAAGAAGGAGCTCGGCGCGGACAACTCTCCTAGGCTGATCATAAGTAGGAGCTGAGAATGGAGGACGTGGCGTAGAGGCCTTCAACATTATTACATAAAAAGATTCATCTCAGTAAGGGTATCACAAGGTTCAAATAAATCCTGAAACTGAAGCATAGCATCAGCAAAGGCATCATCATCAAAGAAAAGCTCCTCGGTATGTGGAACTAGTAATCTACCAGCGATGCCACTAGTTTCAGAAGTCGCGAACGGGAAGTAGGCAGTCCAATCAATGCCATCTGCCATTTCCATATACACCGTTCCATCACCCATCCCGAGATCCGGACCGGGCGCTCGTTGCGAGCCAAAGTCCGGTGCGGTAGCGCCAGGCCGCAGACGACCAAAGCCCGAGTGGAATACTGCGGCGGTGGGCCACATGATGCGTAGTTGATCCACGGCTAGAGTCAAGATATCTAGATCTTCATTGGCACTCTTGGCCAGACCTTCAATTCGAAGAGCTTGGAGCAGCGCAATGAATGCCGTACCGCAATACCACCCTGTTATGGCCATGAGAAATCGGGTTCCCCCGCGTGCTAGAATGTCCCGCATGATGCGAGCCATGCATGACGCGGCGAGTATTGCTGGTGGATATGCTTGTGGGAGAGGCTGGGAGGGGGAGGACCGCTGAAGGTGGATGATGATAATGACGGCGAGATACGGAAGATGAAGTTGATGTACATCTCTATTGAAATGGGTTGTGCGATCTGACCCAATCGGCAGTTGCAGATGTGGAGGGAGTGACTGCACCCAGCGGATGAGATCGCGAGCCAGAGATGCTGGGAATGCGGAAGATCCGGCGTCGCTGGAACGAGCGAGGTACTTTGCAATTTTGCCAATGATGGCGCATAGACGTACCCAGTAAATGAAGACTTCAGCTTTGGTTTTATCCGTGTCCTGGGAGAAATCGTCCAGTGTGGGTTCTGACAGGGTACAGTCTTCGGGGTCAATGACACATGGTTTGCTTTGACACAAAGCAGTCAGTCGCTCACGCGCAAATGCAGTCCACCATATTCGACGTCGGAGACTGAGATCAATCTGTTGACGTAGCGGATGGTTTTGAGCCGGTTCCCGGTGTACACCTAGCTGTTGGCAATGTCGGATGACCACCGAAGTCCACCACCAAGAAGAATGGCGATGGAGGATAGTTGGTGGGCGCGGACTCCACCAATAAAATAGGGAAATAGCTTTCAACGATGTCATGACATCTGGCTCTTCATCGCTGTAAAACCTGGTGCGAGCTCGCTCGTAATAGCCGGCAGGTCCATCATGTGGAATCATAGGCGGTTTGATATGACTACCAACCACTGCTAGGGCATTGACGAGTAGAGGAGATCGAGCAAGCTCTTGTGAGAGGGTCTCTCGGTCTAGGACAGGACACCATGTGTAACAGTACTCCCAGTATGTTTCTGCAAATGTTTGTTGTAGGTCTGGACCAGGTAGATTGAGAACCTCAGGCATTCTTTCGGCAATGAGTCGCTCCTGAGCCCGAGCATTTGTTTGTAGCTCTGGTAAAAATACATGACCAATTGGGTAGCTATCATTATGCTCCGAATGGTCTTCTGTTCGTTGAGTAGCGGGAGAATCATTGGTCATGGCTTGCATAGGCCTACCCTGGGGGTCAGGCGGCAATTGACCCGGGGATGGATCATCTCTCAACGACCATTCGATATTGTGAAAACTCTGAGTTCTTGCTTGTTCGACATGTGCCGGGGAGATGGAAGATCTTTGAAGCAGATCTCTGGGGAAGTTCAGCGACCGAGTATCATTTCCTAACCCGGCCCCACGCGGCCTAGAGGGTGGTTGATTGACAGCAAGATGATCCGGAATAGAGCCATGTCGATTAATTTGAGCACAGGAATTGGTCTCGGTTACTGGAGGTGTCGATGGGGCCACACTTGCAGCGGGCCGACCTCGTTTTGATGGCCTCGTTCTGTGACCGGGTCAGGTCTTATACATCCGAAAATCCTTGGAAGTATCACTCACCGGCATTCTTTGCCGCCAGATTCGCACTTGGTGCATTTATTATGACCCTGACCCCCTCGCACCTGCAGGTCACATCTAATCTGCAGCTAGTTAGCCTTTTTGCCGAGACCGTGGAGAACTAGGTAGCTTACCTTCTTGCTATGACATGCCACACAGGCCAGCTCTGCTCGCTTCCGTTTGGTTTGATTACCAGTGAATTGCAACCAAAGCTGCGCAGACATGATTGGAAATATATTTGAAGGTTCCAATTATACCATCGACTATACTGCCTTCACATTGCAAAGGCGGGGAAAGCTGTTCCCCCGCAAAAGTTTCTCGCCAAGCTTCCCTTGATACCCTCGGCTCTTCGGCTTTCTTACCGTTAGTAATTTATTATTGACTGTGCATTCTGTGCCGGTATTTTAATGGTAGTACTGGGATTCTGCATTATCATATTGGCAGTTGGTTTCATAATCAACGGTATATGATGGACATCTCGGCTTTCCAAGTTAGGACAGTCGTCTCCCCGCAGTACATCTTGTTCCGTTGAACACAGACTACGCGTATAAACCACGCAAGATGTGCGTCGTAACTGTCGGGGCAGGCTTCTCAGGTCTCCTGATGGCACACAAATTTCAATATCGATTTCCTGAGCCGCAAGAATTCGTGGATCACACGATATACGAAGCGCGAAACGATGTCGGAGGTATATGGTTGATCAACAAATAGCCAGGTGTCCAGTGCGACGTCCCTGAATACATATACGCATTCCATTTTACCTGAATCCCGATTGGAGTCGATTTTAGTCCAGTGGAGACGAGATCCAGGCGTACAATGAATTTGTTCAACATGTGCAATGAAATCAGCCGAGTTCTTGAAGCCAACGTCAATGTTTTTCTGTGAGCATGCACGGCATACCCACTGCTCTGTGCCCCCATGATCCTTTTTCATATGGTCTGACCAGGCCACACAATCTATATAAAACGTGCCAGCCTTGGGACAGTCCTCGAGAATGCATGGATATGACAAGATATCTCCCATCAGATGCTTTCTGTCCAGCAAAACAGAACAATCAAACAAATACAATTATGGTAGGGGCCAATCAAGGATTCAAGTTCTGGTTCCATCCCGCATCAATTATGTACTTAAGTACCAGTCAGTCAATGCATTCAAGATGGTCTGGGTTAAGAATTCACATTTTGAAAGCGAGCGTGAGCTAGTAATACTGTTGATATTTACGATAGTAGATGATGATGTACAATGTGTAGAGAAGAGGAGGAGTGTGAAGATTAGATAGCAGCAGTCCAAGAAAACCTTGGAAATGAATAAGAAATGAAAGACTGACCCTTCGTTCCTTATGATCTGGATCTATGAAGTGTACCTGCCTCGTATGTATCCCAGCACCTGCCTTGTTTACATCCTTCCTATTTATTTCCTTCCCACCCTCTGTTCTTCTTCCTTTCTCTATCTCTCTTCCACCCTCACACAACCTCTAGACTTGACTATCTCCACAATTTTTTATCCAGCATCGGTACTCTTGAATGCACGGATATCTCTGTTTTCATATACCCCGTTCTCGTCGGATCCGTTCCTCTTTGAGGTTCGGTTTTCCTGTTTTCGCCCTCCTGTTAGATCTGTTCCT